GAACTCCAGAAAAAGGAAAAAATGTCCTTTTAGCAAACCTTGCAAATGTTGATTTAGTAAATGTCTGATTTTTTAACCTGTTTTATATATTTATATAACTAGAGTCACATAAAGACTTCCCAGGTGGAAAGGGATTGCAAGTGAATTTTTTTAAAAGAAGGCTTGTTCTAGGCCAATACTATACCAAGCGGGAATACACATCTAAGTACTGTTATGGTCAGCCAAACACGTTTAAAGACCTCCAAAGAAGAAAAATTCACCAGTCTCCAAAGCAGAATGTTCCACCATTGAACAGTTTTACCAAGGCTGTTATATTACAACTGCCTTCTATGCCTGTCTGTTTTTGAAACAGAGCAAAAAAAAAAAATGCTGTCAAACAGAGCTGATGCTTCCAGTAAAGTATGAACTAAGATTCTAAATTATATCCAGTGGGTTGTGAGCTGATCCAATGGAGAAGGGTTAGAAATAAAAAAAAACCAAAACATGAGCCAAGACAGTGGTTGGACAAAGATGGCAAGTCCACAGTGGTTAGCTCATTTCAGGTAAGACAGTTGAGATTTACACACATCATGAGATCATTCATAAACCAGGCGCCAACTACATAGCAGTACCTAAAATGAGAACCACACACAACCGAAACTGAAAGAGATGTTATGTGGTTTCTGGGCTGTATGGCCATGTTCTAACAGCATTTTCTCCTGATGTTTTGCCTGCACCTGTGCGTAGCATCTTCAGAGGCTATGGCCATACAGAATAGAAACCATACAATATCTCAGTGATTCTGGACATGAAAGCCTTCGACAATACATGGAACTCAAAGAATCTACTACTAACATGTAACATATCTAATTTTAATCTTTATTATAAGCTATGCCATATCTTCCTATAGGCATCAACACACCTTATTTGTCCCAGATAATTTACACGATTCTATGGAGGCCTTTGCACAAATGTTGGGCATATGCACAATTAAAACTTGTGTACCACCTGCAGCCGTTCCTTAAGAAGCAAGATCTGGCCACAGTGGTACATACCTCACTTACATCCTGTCTAGATAACTGTAACATGCTCTATGTGAGGTTCACTTCGAAGAATACTCAGAAACTTCAGCTGGTCCAAAGAGCTGCAGCCAGGTTGCTAACTGGGCTGCCTATAGGGAGTGGACCACCCTCCTGTTGCAGCAGCTCCACTGGCTGATGGTTTGTTTCTAGGCACATGTCAAAGTGCCAGTTATGACCTTTAAAGCCCTGGATAACTCAGGTCCAGGCTATTTGGCTGACTGCATCTCCTTGTATGAACATGCCTGGGATCAGAGATCTTCAGTAGAGGCCCTTTTCTTGGTCCCACTTCCATCTCAAGCCCAGTTGGATGAAACGGGAGGGAGGGCCTTTCCGGTGGCTGCTCCTTGACTCTGGAACTCTTTGCCCAGGTTTCAACAAAGTAAGTTTCAACAAAAATAAGGACTTGATGAAGAACATTTAAAAGGAGCACTTTCTCTGGAGAACACAAGAGTTAAACAGTACCTATATACTTGTGTGAGAGAAAGATTTAGGTAAAATATATTAATTCCTCCCTCATTCCAATCCTTCGCCAGCCTTTCCTCAGCAGTTCTCAAACTCTTCACTCAGGGAAAAAAGAAAATTATATGAAGGCGGTTCCAGTTTAGAGTGAGAGTCCTTAGGGAAAAGTCTAAAGAAATGATCTCCCTGTCTCATTCATACTGTGTTAAGAATGTCAGAGATGATTTTAGGCTTGTATTAGTTTGGAGCAACAGATACCTTCCTCCAGAGATTAACAAACAAAAGGACCAGATTAGTTGTACAGAATGGACGCCCCCATCTTGAATCCCAAAACACTATGAAATTATCCACACAGGTGGCTGACACTGGAACACCTTTGCTTTCTGATGGTTTAATGTACACAAAGTTTCATGTACTGAATTAATACTGAATTAATGCACAAAAATTGAATCCAATTTTACCACCTTTTATAGCTTGTATTACTTTTTATGGCTTTTACGTTTTGTTTTATGAATGGCTTATGTTACGATGATGTTTTAACAATGTTATAAGTCGCCTTAGGTCCAAATGGAGAAAGGAAATTTATTTATTTTGGGTAAAAATGCCTGAAATAAATACTTTTAAAAATACTGCACCACTGTATATGGGGCAAGGTACCACACAGTCAAGAGGAACTGGCCATATTGTAAAATAATGACAAAAGTGTCGCAAATCAATACTTACGTGAGTAGAGAACCCCTATATTGTTTCAATTCATTTATTCCTTATTACCTTAAGGATACGTGTATAAAATGTATACAAAACAAATTCCATATCTAAACTTGTGTCCTTTCTCCAAGAGATCTCATTATATTCCCAAATACAAATAAAAGAATCACAGAGTTGTAAGATACTGCATGGGCAGTAAACCATACTATATTTTTAATACATTTTAGTTTCTCATGGATTTTTTATTATATTGGTAAATGAGTGTAATGTGATATAATACGTTTATTTAAATCTCCACTTTTTGGTGATTTTAGATTAGTCATTACAAGCTCATATTCTGCAAGTTGCTTCTGGCAGAAGTGACCTGGGAATCACAACCAGATACAGTGTAGACATCTGCCCTTGCGCTTTACTATTCTGCTGCTAAGTATGCATGCCCAGTGTAGAACACATCTTATCATGTTAAAACAGTGAATGTGGCTCTTAATGAGATATGCCGCATTATCACAGGATGTCTATGCCCTACACCTACAACAGTGGACAAATTACACTGTTTAGTCGGCACCACCTGACATCCGCAAGGAAGTAGCAGCCAATAATGAAAGAACCAAGGCAGCGACATCTCCGGCCCATTCCCTGTTTGGATATCAGCCAGCATGCCAACGCCTTATATAAAAAAATAGTTTTCTAAGATCTACAGAGATACTCACAGGAACACCTCAGCAAACAAGAGTCCAAACATGGCAAGCTAAAACTTGGAACCTCAAGCCATGATAGCCATGATAGCAAATGAGAGACTCCCCCCTGGGCACACAGAAGACTGGGCGACTTGAAGAGTGCTAAACAGATGTGCTCTGGCACCATGAGATGCAGAGCCAGCCTTAAGAAATGGGTCCACAAAGTGGAGTCCACAACATGTGAGTGTGGAGACGAGCAAACCATAGACCACCTATTACAATGCAGTCTGAGCCCTGCCACATGCACAATGGAGGCACTCCAAGTGGCCAGCTACTGGTCAAATAACATTTTCTATAATGTCCAGTTTTAAAACTTTGTTTGTGTTTTTAAATACAGTACAACTATACCCGGTTAACTTCTGATACAATAAATAAAATATAAATAAACGTATATTGATGTTGTTTTATTTATTGTGTTGACCGATTTCTGGTTTTGTCTGTTTTATTATGTCATTAAATGTTTGCCACTTCTGATGGAAACCATCCTGAGTCCACTTGGGGAGATAGGACAAGTTACAAATAACATCTTATTGGGTTGTTGTAGGTTTCTCCGGGCTATATGGCCATGTTCTAGAGGCATTTTCCCCTCACTACCTCTGAGGATGCTTGCCATAAATGCAGGCGAAACGTCAGGAGAAAATGCCTCTAGAACATGGTCATATAGCCTGGAAAAACCTACAACAACCCAGTGATTCCGGCCATGAAAGCCTTCGACAATACATTGAACATCTATTATAATAATAAGGAGCCCCCGGTGGCGCAGTGGGTTAAACTGCTGAGCTACTGAGCTTGTTGTCCGAAAGGTTGCAGTTTCGAATCCGGAGAGCGGCGTGAGCTTCCGCTGTCAGCCCCAACTTCTGCCAAACTAGCAGTTTGAAAACATGCTAATGTGAGTAGATCAATAGGTACCACTCTGGCAGGAAGGTAATGGCACTCCATACAGTGATGACCTTGGAGGTGTCTACGGACAGCGCTGGCTCTTCGGCTTAGAAATGGTGATGAGCACCACACCCTAGAGTCGGACACGACTGGACTTCATGTTAGGGGGAAACCTTTACCTTTACCTATTGTTATAATATTATTATTATCCAGTCCAATCATCTGCCATGCAGAAAAGGCACAATCAAGCACACCTGACTAATTGTGTAAAAGGACGTTGGCCAGTCTGATTTTACATAAAGAGCCCATCATGTAGGGCAGGGGTCTGCAAACTAAGGCCCGGGGGCTGGATGCGGCCCTCCAAGGTCATTTACCCGGCCCTTGCTCAGGGTCAACCTAAGTCTGAAACGACTTGAAAGCACATAACAACAACAATCCTATCTCATCAGCCAAAAGCTGGCCCACATTTCCCACTGAAATACGAATAAGTTTATATTTGTTAACACTGTTCCTCATTTTAATTATTTTATTGTTTTAAGTGTTTTTTACATATATGCAGCGTGCACAGGAATTCATGTTTTATTTTTCAAATTATAATCCGGCCCTCCAACAGTTTGAGGGACTGTGACCTGACCCTCTGCTTTAAAAGTTTGTGGACCCCTGGTGTAGGGCCTTCGTACTGCCAAGGGCAACATGGAACGCCCAAGAATAATAGACCAGAAATACTTTCAACAGCAACTCTTAACAAGTACAACAACCTGCTTTGGTTTCCCGTGGCTGGCATTACTACAGCAGGTTTGGCAACAGTGTCATCTCCTTCTTTCCAGATGGCCATCCAGCCTCTGTATAAAAGCCCTCAAAGAAGGAGAGACAGAGTTCCATTGTTAAACAGCTCTAACGGTCAGGAAATTCTTCAAGTGGAATTTGAACCTATTGCTCCAAGTCCTAGTCTCCAGGGCAACAGGAAACGAGACATTTTTCAAAAAATCAGAAATACAAAACAGTTCTACACCCAAGCATTTCATACACTCAGCCTGCACTTGTTATCTATTTATTTCACCCTTTTCTGGAGGCGAGAAGCACTGTTCAAGGCAGTATTTAGGAGAACGCAGGGAGATGTTGCTGTGCAGCAAAAGCCCAGGCCAAGCGAGCCTACCTTCTTGTCCTTGTGTTATTTCAGGTCACGTTGTGGACATGTTTAGAGGCGTTTCCCTCGGAGGGAGGCGAGAGGCCTGTTTCCCAGGCTGCTGGGAAGTTGGGCGGCCCTGAGGCGGGCGGAGAGCGGAGGCTGGCACTCCGGGGAAGCTCCTCTGGTGTTGCCTGAAACATGAGGGACTGAGGAAAGGGAAGGGGGCTCATAAGGGGACGCGGCAGGCCAGGACGGGGCCCTTCCCGGCCCAGTATTCCGTGAGCCGGTGGGGTCGAGGGGAGCGGGTGCCAACCGCGCTCATATCAGTCCTGCGGGTGGGGAGGAGGCGGTTCCCACGGACGCACCCCACACGGGGGTCGGCCGGCTTCAAGGAGCGGCTCCCGAGGCGACCGCTTGCTCCCTTACAACCTCAACCTCTCATCTCGCGATGGGCGCTTCCTTGCCTCGTGAAAGGCGCAGGGAACAGGGAGAGATCCCGCGAGGTTCCGTTTCTCGCGAGAGTTGGGCCATTCGCGAGACTCAGGTAACGGTTAGAGGCCTGCCAAGAGGATTGCGTTCTTGAGCCTGGCAGGATGGCACTTGGCAGGGAAATCAATTAATTGGTGAGGCTTATCGTAACACAGGAAAAACAATATTTCCGTGTGTTGTATATCTCTCAAAATAAGAAATGTACACTACTATTTTACAGGCAATACAAGCAGAGCAGGCCTGGCCAAACTTGAGCTCTGCAGGTGTTTTGGACTTCTACTCCCACAATTCCTGACAGCCTCAGGCCCTTTCCTTTTCCCCTTCAGTCGGTAGACTGGGTTGTTGTAGGTTTTTTTGGGCTATATAGGCATGCTCTAAAGCAGGGGTCCTCAACCTGTGGGTCCCCAGGTGTTTTGGCCTACAACTCCCAGAAACCCAAGCCAGTTTACCAGCTGTTAGGATTTCTGGGAGTTGAAGGCCAAAACATCTGGGGACCCCCAGGTTGAGAACCACTGTCCTAGAGAATAAGAATGCCCCATCCCCACCTTCAGGTCATTGCAGTTCTTTTGTTGGCAACCCCCCTTTTAAAATTCGGACAACCTCTGAGGTCTTCCATAGTGTACTTGTCCGAACGTATCTCCTATGTCCCACCACGGAGTTTAAGATCTTCTGGGGAGGCCCTGCTCTCGGCCCCACCTTTATCACAAGTGAGGCTGGTGGGGACGAGAGACAGGACCTTCTCAATGGTGGCCCCTCGCCTGTGGAATTCACTCCCCGGGCAAATTAGGTTGTCAACATCCCTCCTCTCCTTCAAGAGAAAGCTGAAGACATGGATATGGGACCAGGCATTTGGGTAGTCTGGCAGGGTAACATGGTAATGATGACTAGAGCTGGAAAGGACTATGGCAATGCTAAACGGATTGACAGATTTTAGAACACGATGAATGCAGGCTTTAGAGCGGTTTTTAGTTGATATTGTATTGTGTTATATTGTATTGTATTAATTGTCTGTTTTTAATCTATTGTGTTTTGCTATTGCATTTTATTGTAATTGTGGGCATCGAATTGTGCCGGATGTAAGCCGCCTTGAGTCCCCCCTAGGGGGTGAGAAAGGCGGGGTATAAATGACCGAAATAAATAAATAATAAATAGTGGACTTGGTAGCAATACTTGCTTCTGGAAATGCAGCAAGCAGCCAAAATGGAGACCCAACTCCAACGGACAAAAAAGGCCATAGAATCCTAAAGTTGGAAGAGACCCCAAGGGCCGTTCAACACAACTTTTTGCAGGAATTCAGGCTGACTTTGAGAAATGAGAGTCTTTAGAGAAATTGCCTTTTTAACATTAATTTTTATTCATAAATACAGAAATCCAAACATACAGGAAAAAAGTTACAGAGATAAAAACAATACAAAAATAACAGTTTTTCATGATACATAAAACTAAACTGCAACAACTAACAAAAATATATTTACAACAATAATCCTAACCTATACAAACCCACAGGTTGAGAACCACTGTTCTAAAGGCATTCTTTTCTGAAATTTCGCCTGCATCTATGGCAAGCATCCTCAGAGGTAGTGAGGTCCAGAATCACTGAGATGGTGTGTGATTTCTAGTCTGTATGGCCATAGCCTCTGAAGATGCCACCCACAGGTACAGGAGAAAATGCTGTCAGAACACGGCCATACAGCCCAGAAACCACATAACATCACCCTCAACAAAAGATTCCCCCCAGGCGCTACCAAGCCATTAATGCAAATCAAGGTGATCAGCTGAAACATCCACAGCTAGCCCCAGCAAACAAAAGTCCTTTGTCACACCCTGGTCATTCCACAGATATATAAACCTACTTCCAACAGATCTCATTACCTCTGAGGATGCTTGCCATAGATGCAGGCGAAACGTCAGGAGAAAAATTGCCTCCAGAACATGGCCATATAGCCCGGAAAAACCTACAACAACCCACACATAACATCTCTTTGAGTTTTGTTTGTGCGTGGTTCTCATTTTAGGTACTGCCATGTACTTGGCTCCAGGTTTATTATTAATAATAATAATAAAAATAATGCTTTATTTATACCCTGCTCCATCTCCTCCAGGGGGACTCGGTGTGGCTTACATGAAGCCATGCCCATCAATACAGTACAAGCTATAACACAAACACAATAAAACAAGCAAAATATATAAAATGCAAAATTGAAATGATATACAACACAACAATATAAAATAATAATATACAACACAACAATATAAAATGGGGGACATGAGAGAAGCCTCCTCGCAGGATTGAAAGACATCTGGGTGTCCCCTGGGCAACGAGAGCCGTTCAACAGTGGAACTGTCTGCCCCGGAGTGTGGTGGAGGCTCCTTCTCTGGAAGCTTTTCAACAGAGGCTGGATGGCCATCTGTCAGGAGTGATTTGAATGCAATATTCCTGCTTTTTGGCAGGGGGTTGTACTGGATGGCCCATGAGGTCTCTTCCAACTCTTTGATTCTATGATCTACAGAGATACTCGCTGGAACACCTCAGCAAGCGAGGGTCCAAAAGTGGCAGGCTCAAACCCAGAACCTCAACCAATGGCTGATACCAAATGAGAGACTCCCCCCTGGGCACACAGAAGACTGGGCGGCTTGGAAGGCGCTGAACAGACTGCGCTCTGGCACCACGAGATGCAGAGCCAACCTCAAGAAATGGGGCCACAAAGTGGAATCCATGACATGCGAGTGTGGAGAAGAGCAAACCACTGACCACCTGCTGCAATGCACCCTGAGCCCTGCCACATGCACAATGGAGGACCTTGCAGCAACACCAGGAGCACTCTAAGTGGCCAGCTACTGGTCAAAGGACATTTAATCAACTACCAAACTCACAAATTTTGTATTTTGTCGTTTTTTTCTGTTAAAAATGTAATATAATTGACTGGTTGCCCTAACACGACAAATAAATAAAAATAAATATAAAATCAAGCATTAAAAACACAGGAAATTTCACTAGGCAGGGCCAGATGCATGGATAATAGAAAATATTAAAAACACTGGGAGATAGGGCAGAGTAACTTATAAGGAGGAGGCTCCAGGAATGAGGAAAGATTTCATTGCACAACCCATAAAGTAAAGTGCATCTAAGGACATTTTGTGCAAAGTGTGGTCATGATGTGTGTAAATGATCTCATGATGTGTATAAATCTCAGCTGTCTTACCTGAAATGAGCTGAAATGTATATGAGGAAGAAGACCGATGGACTGACCACCTTAACCCTCAAGATGCTAAATTCATGGAACATTTTCAAATAGTCTTATGGAACAAAGTCACCAGCGACATGGATATTGTCTCTCAAGATAAAAGAAGCAGTTGCTTAGGATCCCACCCACTCCCAAGGGGCTGGAGAACACCTTCAGAAACCAAACTATGGCAGCCAATCATGTAGAAGAATGTGCGTCAAGAGCATTTGTTGTTTATTTAACATTTTGTAATGTTAACATTTTGTAATGACTACCACTTTGTAAATAAAGGCACATTTCCAATTTCCACTATGGATGGCAACTTTGGAGGACACCCTGGATATGTGATTGTTCCAAATACAGAAATTCAAAGTATTTCTGGCTCCAAATTATTTGGGTAAGAGATTCACTGCCTCAGGCACAGGCAAATTTGGGCCCCCCAGATGTTTTGGATTTCAACTTCCACAATTTCTAACAGTCTACCGACTTGTTGAAGGCTTTCATGGCTGGAATCACTGGGTTGTTGTAGGTTTTTTCGGGCTATATGACTATGTTCCACAAGCATTCTCTCCTGACATTTTGCCTGCATCTATGGCAAGCATCCTCAGAGGTTGTGAGGTCTGTCTACCTTGGAGTACGGTGGAAATTTGGGAGCTTTTAAACATAAGCTGGGTGGCAATCTGTCAGGGGTACTTTGATTGGACTGGGTGACCCATGTGGTCTCTTCCAACTGTATTATTCTATGATTCCATGATAAGGGATGCAAAACAAACAAAAGAAACGGAATTGTGAGCTAGTAAAGCTGTATATATTTTGCACCTAAACCTCTAATAAGTTGTTAGAAATTGGATTTTCAGCCACATTTGCTGAAAATCCCTTTCCCACACATTATAAATATTTCTACTTCCTGTTTTTAATTTACCAATCCTAATTGCATTTATTGTTGGTTAATTATTTAAAAGTAAGTCATAAATGGAAAGTATAGGCAAAGCTAACCAGTTTTAATTTTATTAGGCAGATAAACATGTAAAAGGGCACGTAGACAACTTTTACTTATGAAATATAATCTTATTTACAATCAATCTTGATTCCAGCCTAGGCAATTTGAAAAAAAATGAACCCATAGCCTTAGGTGACCTGTCCTTTAAGGCTGAATGGGACTGAAGAAGGCATGGAAATTAGATTTGGCTTTGGAGGTGCTTGTCTTTTCTCATACTGCTTGGTTCCAAAAAGTGTGAACAGGGAAAGCTGGCTTTATTATTCTCAGCAACAACTTTATGTTATCTAATCCAAAAAGTGGAAGAGTGTCTTTATTCAAAGTCAGTTTTGAAAATGCTGGGATGAATAATAGTGTCATTCCAAAAGATACCCAACATACTTGACATTATAGGTTCTTCAGTGGCAGAACACAAACTAACAAACTGGCTACATTAGCTGATGTTAACCCATTCTTCCATATATACTGTGACCCCAATTCTGATTGTCCTCCTTCATAACTGCTATTTAAAGTTCAAAACTAATATACACCCCGCTAAGCTGTGAACTTAAACGTATGAACTAACTCTTTGAAAAGAGCCCATCAAGAAAATTGCTAAAAAGGTTTTTTTTTAAATGTATCAGCAGGGAGAATTAATCTTCTGTATACAGCAGGTGAGTCAAGCTATTAAATGCAGTTGTGGTGACCTTTGAGGAAGTGCTAGAAGCCACCATCTGGGCACAGAACTATAAAAAAAGAAATATGATTTCTTCAGAAATGCTTCCTTCTT